CACGAGTTGTCCACTTTCAATGGCTGCCTCCTCTGGGGATCGAGAGTTGTGATCCCGGCCTCATTGAGGGCTAGAATCTTAATCTCATTACATGAGGGTCACCCTGGAATTGTAAGGATGAAGGCGCTTGCTCGCAGCCATCTGTGGTGGCCTGGCATTGACCGGGCCATCGAGTCCCAAGTACATGGATGTCATACCTTCCAACAGTCCAGGCCTGAAATGCCCCAGGCCCCTGTACACAGGTGGGAGGAAACACACACTCCATGGTCTAGAATACATGTAGATTACGCTGGGCCCTTTCAGGGTCAATTCTTCCTGGTTGTTGTTGATAGCCATTCCAAATTGCTGGAGGTCGTGCCTGTGTCTTCTACCACAGCCGCCAAGACTATTCAAGTGTTGAGAAACATTTTTGCTGCACACGGGCTGCCAGATGTTCTAGTGTCGGATAACGGTCCTCAATTTACTTCTACTGAGTTTCAGGGATTTCTCCGGACCAACATGATCCGCCACGCTGCTTCAGCTCCCTTCCATCCTTCCACCAACGGTCTGGCTGAACGGATGGTCCACGTCACCAAGGATGCCCTCAAGAAGCTGACTTACGGCAACTGGCATCACAGGTTGGCTGACTTTCTTTTGGCACATCGTACTACTCCGTGCACTGCCACGGGTAAGTGCCCGGCCGAACTCCGCTGGGGTCGTCGGCTCGTGACTAAATTGGACAGGCTGCATCCGGAACGTGTAGCTGCTCAGGTGTCTCAGCCACACCCACCACGGGTCCTACGTGAAGGTGATCCTGTTTGGGCCAGGAATTACGGGCCTGGCCACCTTTGGGTACCGGCTGTGGTCTGCAAAGTCTTGGAGCCTCTGTCCTACGAGGTGTCCCTGACAGACGGCCGCGTACTTCGCCGCCACATCGATCAATTACGTGTGAGGCGGGACTCGCCTATGGTTCCTTCTCAGTCTCCTCTAGGGGGGGAGGAGGAATGGGAAATGCATTCTGGGAGTCAAAATCAACAGCCTACGTTGGCTGTGGGAAGGGAAACGGGTACTCAACACCCAACTTCCACAGGTGCTGCAGGTAGTAGTTCTTGGGAAAG